ACATGATAGTGGGTTTCTACCTCTTGTGCCAAAATAACTTTGCTGATTTTGGATCACTTGGATGGATAGCATTTGCTGTTTTGCCTCAGGTAGCAGAATATCCTGGGACAGCCCTGATTAGCATGTGTCCTTTGCACTTTTTCTCTGATTGCTGTCCGTTCATTTCTGAAATGTCTACATTGCCTTACTAGGCACAAAGCCTCTCAACACGCTGATGGTCTGGAATATACATCCAAGAATAGATACAGAGAAAGTTGACCATTCCAGATTAAAACAATCAGAAACCAGAAGCAGAAATCAATAAACAGCAGTTGCCTGTTTGAAATTGTGGGACCATTAGGCATTTATATTAAGCAGAGTGTACTGTGGCTAGCACAATATAAGCTTGTGGTAGAAACAGGAGAAATAACTCTGGATGGTCTAGTAAGGGAAAAAAGAAAGAAAACTTATGTTTATTGTCTCAGGAAATCCATGTCAGCATAACAGCTATGATGATGGAGCTCCATCACTGTAGCTACATCTCTCAATGCAGGATCTCAGCTCATAAAAATGCATAGGGTTGCCGGGTGTCCCTTTTTATAAGTTGTGCTCTTTATTTAAGAACGTGAAAAGCTTGTCCTGCCTAAGACTGACAGGTGCCCCTTATTATGAGGAATGTCCCCTATTGGAGGATTGGAAAGCTCTTTCTTTTATATAGACTGGACAAGAGGCAAAAAAAAAACCAAACAAACATACTTTGGAGTGTGGGTCCTTCTTAAAGATACAAATGTGTGCATCATGAAATTTGTGAATGTGGACAATATGCTATTTTTACTGAGACATGGTTAAGTTAACCGAAATCAATACTATCATTTGGTGCTTTGGTGGAGTACAAAATTGTTAATAGCTACTTCCAGATCATCAACCCTGTATGTCATGAATGCAGGCTATCCCTTATTGCTATTTTCAAAACTTAGTAACACTACCATCCTCTCCAAAAACAAACAAACAAACAAAAGAACCCACCACACCATACATTTAAGACTACCTGTGTGTAAGTGGAAGAAGTATGTTTTATATGCTCACACACCAGGCCATATGCTGGCTAAGACATGCTGGACATTGTAATCTCCAAAATAAAATTCTGTGCTCTCTTTTATGCATACACACCTACTGACTAAACCTGTCATAGGAATTCCCTCCCCAAACAAACAGAAAAATTAATCTGTTTTACTGACAAAGTATGGGGAAGGAGCTCAGGAATTCAGCTGGGCTTAGATGTACACCGCTATTAAGTAGACAGTATTTATTACCTCTTATAAATGATTCCTTCTGCCAACTCAAGCATGCTGGATCTTGCAACAAAACATCCCAGAATAGCAAGCATCTTGCCTGCAGGACCTTCGTGATCTAGCAGACAAACAAATCCCAGAGACAATACTCTAGATGTTTTAGTGAGTGGGTGGGAAATCTGTTAAAATATGCTCCTTTTTTTGTTTGTTTCTAAGAAAAGCAGATGACAGCAGCTCTGTGGATTTCAGATAGGCTTCTTCGTAGTCTTTATTTTAATTTTGTGATGCTCTTATCAGCTTCTCTACACATAATCCCATTGAAATGCCGGGTGTTCAAACAAGGGTACAAGTGGTCCAGCAGCAGCAGCAGTAGCAGTAACAACAACAACATCCCTGTTCCCCAATGAACTCAGGGTGACATATATGAGGTTTCTCCCTTGTAAGGTATAACAACCCTGTAAGATATTAACAGCTGTCACTTAGGATGGCTTTAAAATGAAATTAGATAAACACACTCTATGTGGGGCTTCCTTTTAAAAGTGTTCAGAAACATCCATTTGTACAGCCAGAATGTTAACTGGGGCTGGTTAGTGAGACAATATGACTCATCTGTTACAATGGTTCTTTTGGCTGCTGATCTGTTTCTGGGCACAAGTGTTGTTTTTAGAGGTGTCACTAAGAGATTCAGGGGATTCAGGCAGCACCAGTTGACACCCCGAGGGGGGTGACACCACTGATCCCCAAACATCTGCCTTTTGGAAGAAACAGGCTGTGGCATTTTCTTGCAGCCCTTTAAAATGCTGGAGTTCAGTGGAACAGATGATATAAGTGGGGTGAGACTCAGCGGAAGGAAAAAGAAGAGATTCCATTTTATATATAATATAAACAGGCTGTGGCATTTACTTGCAACCCTTTAAATATATATATTATATATATATATATTAAAAACAAAACATTCTTTTGAAATTTTCTTTGAAATCTTACATCTTACCAGACATTCACTTTAAGGACATGAAACAATTCATATTTAAATCCATTTAGGCTGTGCGTAAGATATTGTAATTTAAAGGTATATAGTAATTTTAATGTTGCTAGTTGTTTATGTCACAACTATGCCCGTTACATTATGCTGATATATAGGAATGATGATTTATGAGTAACATTAGTAATAAACAAAACAAAACATTATTAAGGATTCTGTACAGTGTGGTGTGGGAGGAGATCAATGTGAGGGTGACACCATGAGTTACCACACCAGATGACACCAATCCTAATGACGCCCCTGTGGTTAGTGCCTATTAAGCCCTAAATGGTTTAGGTCCCAGCTGTCTGACAAATCATATCTCTAGAGCTCAACCTTCCGAAGCCCAAGATCCTCAGAAGAAACTCTTCTCTCAGTCCCACCACCTTCACATGCACAACTTGTAGTGATGTAAAATAGGGTCTTCTTGGTAGCGGCCCTGAGTTCTGGAACTTTATTGCTGTCTTTCTGTCTGTGGACATAGGCATCTTTTATTCCAACAGGAGTTGATGAATTGAAGGTTTGTTTGTTTTTAAGTGTGGCATTGTTTTTATTGGTTTAATTGTACTGTTTTTCTAAGCTGCTTTGTATCATTTTTAGCTGGGTTTCAAATGGTTTTCAAATGTTGGTAGTTGTATTCAGTTTTGATGCTGATCTTTTGTGTGTTTTAACTGTATTGCATTTTAATTTGTAAGCCACCTTAAGTCCCAATTTGGGGGCAAGGGTGGGGTATAAATAGGGGCTGAGATCCTGCATCAGAGATGTAGCTTCAATGTCGTAGCTACACTTCATCCTCTGATCATCACCTTAAAAGGGAGGCAACCATTCCAAGCAATGGAGTTATGTGGTGCTGGTGAGATGAAGGATGACATAACTAGTCCCTTCCCACCTTTGCACAATGGTGTGAGGATTTGAAGTAGGGACCCCAAAAGTCACAATCCACTTGTGGATTGCTGTATGGCAGGGGATGCACTTGATGGCCCTTTCAATTCTGTGATTCTATGCATAATTCTTAAAACCGCTTCCATACAACTGATCTACAGCCTTTTCAAATGAAATCTGTGGGCTAGAGCTGAGCAATGTCTATGTTGATTGGTGATGTCTCTCCATGGTGTCAGAGAGGTGTCTTTGCCAGTTCTATCTTTGGATGCTAAGGTATTTTTCCATGGAGATATGCTCCCTCATCCAGACAGATGTTATGCAGAACAAAAGAAAGGGATCCTCCCTTCACTACACTTAAGCTGTGGTGTCATGAGTAATCATCAGTGCAAATCAGACTAATTTTAGAAAAATGCAGAGAAAATAGAGAAGCCATCAGAGATAGATATGTGTACTTGGCTGGCTCTAGACTCTTAGCTTCTACAATACACAAAAGTGTGGAGAAATTTGTCTATTTTTAATCCCTGTGAGTTTTTCATATATTCATTCTTACATCCACTCTGTCCCATTTCTGCACTAAACTATACAGTGGGCCCTTGGTATCTGCTGGGTTTGGTTCCTGGACCCCCCCCCCCCCATGGGTACCAAAATCCATGGATACTAAAGTCTCATTAAATACAATGGCTAAGTAAAATTGTGTCCTTCATATAAAATGGCAAAATAAAGCTTTACTTTTTGGAATGTATATATAGTTTTAAAAATATTTTCAAGCTGTGGGTGGTGGACTCCACGATAAAGAGTCTGTGGATACAGTGGGCCAACTGTATATGTTTTTATAAAATGACAGCTGGGATTCTCCATCACAGTCTGTATTATGTAATTTTATGCATGCTTAGCTATATAACAAAAGTTGTAAGGTACCATTCTAGTGAATTTTAAAGATGTTATCAGGACACTAGCAAGAGTATCCCAATGCTCATTGGTCCCATTGTGCTTTAGCCCCGATAAGCATCAGATTTGTTGTTGTTAATTGCCTTTGAGTCACTCTTGACTCATGGCAACCCTGTGGATGAGGCATCTACCAAGACTGCCTATCCTCCACTGCTCTGCTTAGGTCCATAAATTCATACCCATGATCTCCTTAACAGAGATCATTCATCTAGCATGCAGTCTTCCTCTTCTTCCACTGCCTTCTACCTTCCCTAGCATTATTGTCTTTTCTAATGAGTTGTGACTTCTCATCTTGTGGCCAAAGTATGACAGCTTCAGTTTAGTCATCTTGGAATCCAGGGAAATTTCAGGCTTGATCTGGTCTAGGACTCATTTGTTTGTCTTTTTTGCTGCCCACGATATCTGAATTCCCTACATAGTAATGTCATGACAGCTCCTTGATGAATACAGATGTTGTGCATATTTCTATTTCCCACAGATGCAAGTCCACTTATGAAAATATAAGTCCCCAATGAATGCTGGATAGTTTTTAAAAAAACCTGCCTGAAAAAGGCAATGGCAAACCACCTCTGAACAAATCTTGCCAAGAAACTCTCTGTAATGATCACACATCAGCTTTTATTCCTGCGCTAGGCATGGGATATAAACGCACAGGGACGGATTCTATCACATAGTCCCGTTCCTGGGCAGTACTCATCCTGTACCCAATTTGGGCTTCTAAACCTTTTTAAGAATAGGATTTCTAGTGCAGGAATAAAAGCTGGTGTGTGACCCTTTCACAGAGTTTCTTGGCAAGATTTGTTCAGAGGTGGTTTGCCATTGCCTTCCCCTGAGGCTGAGAGACTGTGACTTGCCCAAGGTCAGCCAGTGGGTTTCCATGGCTGAGCTGGGATTCAAACCCTGGTCTCCAGAGTTGTAGTCCAACACTCAAACCATTACACCACACTGGCACTCAAAATACTTATAATACATATCAATACAATGCTGTTAATCCCACCTTTGCCTCAGCCTTATCTCACAACATCATGGCTCTGACAGTGTTGTTGTGTTGTGGTGTTGTCAACTCACCCTTTTAGATATTTTTTTCTGATTTTTTAAATATATTTTTATTAATTTTATATATATACATTATATACATTTCTTAATCTTGAGTACATACCCAATCTATCCAAAATATTACCAATATACAAAGAAAAAACTTCCATAGTTCTTCCAAAGTAAGCATGCTACTTATTCATTTAAAACAAATCTCAAATTACACTTTTCGTTATTTAAACCTATTTGTATTAATATCTATATCCATCTTATTTTCATTTTAATGCATTCTATTTTTAATATATATTTCCGTCTATTATTATCTTTCCATACCTCTTATTTCCATATTTCTTTTGTATATTTCTCTATTGGAGCCCACTCCACCTCTAATTCCTCAGAATCTTTATTACTTAGAATTCTAGTCAAACAGTCCATCTCTTTCATTTCTGTCACTTTTAGTCGGTATTTCTTCCATTTTCCATTTATGTGCCAACTGTAGTGTTG